TGAGAAGCTCATTCTCTTAAATTTGTTATCTTTCAATTTATATTATGAATCTTTGGTTTCCTTATAGCTTTAGCGGAGAAAAAAAGGGACTGGCCTTAGTAAAGCTTAAAAAGAAAAAATAATAAGGAAATTGATTAATAATTCGGGATCTCTTAAATTTAGAAAGTGAAAATTTGGGTTGAGCAATAATAGCTTTTTTCCTAACATTTAAAGTTTCGGCGCTTAAAAGTGGGTAAACGCATGTTTTTAAAACAGCTAAGTATATTCAGTGCTGAAAGTGTAGAAAAAAGAGACTGCGACAAGAGTTAACGAAAAAAAAAGAATTTTATAAACTTTCATATATAGATACACTGCTAAGTTGAAATTTCCGATACAAAAACCAAATTTTAAAAAAATTAATTATATTTAACAATAACAGGAAATATAGCACGCTCCAAAACGAAAGTCAGTACATGATATAATAAATAGCCACAAACACATCCATCTTCAGTGCAAACCGTAGTTTTTCAAAAATAAAAAAAGGTTAAATAAAATTAACAAAAACTCTTCCTGTCTACGAAGTTTCAATAACTATAACTAATTTTTCTATAATTACAGCGAATCATTGCTGAATAAGCAATGAGATCAAATAAAAAATAATAAGTTTAGTCATGAGTAGCCCAGTTGATAATTAAGAGAATTTTTTTTAGCTACTAAGAAAATTGTATACAAAGCTGTTACTAAAAGATTTCCTACCAAGAATTCTAATATAGTTACCTGTCAAATTTAACTTTTTTTTAATTGGCTGGTAGAAAAAATTGTATACAATGCTTGAGGTTATACTTTTTTCCAGTCGATAAAAGTAAAATACTATCACTATTATATTACTAATATAATTATTGTAAACTTTCTTTTATATTAATAATTTTTGTTAATACACTTTTCTATAAACTTCACTATTTCCCACAAAAATAAATACCACATCAAATTTAACACTTTGCTTCACTAGTAAAAATATTTATATACAAGACCGAAAACTATATTTCTTTAAATTATTAAACTTACTTTTTACTAAAAATACTAAATTTGATGACGTCTTTGTAACTAACTTCCTCTTTTTTTATAAATTAGTTGCTGGAGAATAGTACTAAAAAGGCTTATAGATATAAACTTAACTTACAATTTCTAAAAATTGGAAAGCTATAAATTAAAAACAAGGAATTAAAGTTACGCGTCGGATGAAGACCTTATTATTAACTGTTGAAGAAAAAAGTTGTAATATATAATCTAAATTATATAGAGACTTCAAATTCTAAATTAACTTGAAATTACAACTGATTCTTAAGTTGTTTTGTGCGTTTAGTCTGATAATTAGTTAAAAAATTTACAATCTAAAAAAAAAGTTTTTAGAATTGTTTATAATAAACGTTTAAATTTATTCATACCCATATAAAGTTATTTAATAAAAATATTAAATTATAAAAAAAATAATCATTTACTTAAAAAAAATTATTTTTATAAAAATAATAAAGAAGCGAAACTATACAATATGGTAACTAATTTATTACCAAATAATTATAGATCCTTTTATAAAAGTTACAAATTTAATACTTGTATAAACAACAAAGGTCGACTTATACCAAAAAAATTATAAAAATTTACAATATAAATTTCTAGCATTCACTTAACACGAAAATAAACGGGACTTTTAATAAAAGGATTCAACTTTTCCAGAAAAGAGTTTCCCAAAATCTATGGAAAGTTAAACAGTATATTTTAAATATAGAAAAATCTTTAATTGAAAATTGCGTGTTAGAAAGGATAGCAAATAAATTTTAAAAAATAATTTAATTAAAAAAAGTAATAAATATATAATAAAAATTTGCAGTAAAAATATTATAGAAAAGAAGCTTAGAAATAATTAATTTAAAAACAAATCAATTGCAACAAAAATATTAATTATAAGAATCTTGAAATTTCATTTTTTTTAAGTGCAGGTCAGGTGAACTTTTTAAAATTGCAAATTAAATTAAAATTACTTTCAAACGAAAGCAAAAAAAAAAGTTTTAATTTGCCTTTAATAGCCCTTATTTAATAATAAAAATAATAATATTCACAATATTAATAATAATTATAATCTAAAATCTCAAAGTTTTGCAGCCAACATTCACGTGTAGTAAAAAATGGGACCGTTAATACTATGAAAACTTATGTGTTAACCTTCAATAGAAACTTCTTAAAATAATAAAAATAGATTTAATGAAAAAGTAAAGCAGATCTGACAAAAAAATTAGAATTAATTTTTTTAAAAAAACAAGGACAGGTAAACTTTTTAAAAATTCAAAAAAATAATAGTTCCAAGTGACATTCAAAATTTTTAATCAAAAATATAAATTTATAAATTTTAAACAGAAAAGCTCTCAAATAGAAGAATCCTAAAAAAGTACGCAAAATTTTTAACACAAAGTAATTAACAAATATCACAACTTATTAAAAAAAATTATACATTGTATTAAATAAACACTTCTGTAATAATCAATGGCAAGTAAAAAAAATATAACAAGAAAATTAAGTATAAATTACAAAAAGACTGTCAAGCAGTAGAAAAAATTCGAAAAATTAAAAAATTTAATTAATTAGAAAATAATTATAAACAAAAAATTTTATAATCAAGAAAAAAAAATAAATTAATATTAATATATAACTGATAATCAAATAACCCCAAAAGCTTTTAATAGTTCGCAATCTACTAGCAAACATACATAATTTAAAAATTTAAATTCAATTAAATAATAATTATAAACAAGAGATTATAAAACTATTATTTTAAGATAATTTTTGTTACGATTATTATTAGTGGTCGTAAACTTATTAATAATAATAATAAATTTTATAAGGCTTAAAAGTTGAAAAAAAAAAGTTTGATTTAAATATATATACAAAACTTTTTTGAAATTTTTTTAAAGAATTTTTTAGGTAAAAAAAAAATAACTTTAACTATTTTTAAAATTGTAAGCAAAAAATTGATTTAAAAATTATTAATACAAGTAAAAATTTGCTTGAACTTTAAAAAAAATAAAATCTCGTTAATCTCATTTAAAAAAAAATTATAAAAAAAAAAATAAACTCATAAAAAAGATTCAAAATTAAATAATTCAATCTAGAGTTTAAAAATTTTTTTTATAGGATAATAATAATAACATGCAAAGCTAACGGCAATAAGAAAATTTGAAAATGACGAAATTATAGTTTTATAAAAAATTAATTTACAGTAAAATTAAATATAAACTATTATAATAAAAATTTGTATGTTTTAGATTATTTTTCTTTTTTTTAAAATTTTTCTGATTAAAAATTTAATTTTCAACAATAAAAAACTACTAGAAAAAATATAATTATAGAATTAGAGTAATTTGTAAAATTTTTGTAAATATGTAACAATAATTAAAATGAATAATAAAATAATATAAATATATAAATATTAATAAATAATATATAATAACAAATATATTAAAGAATTAATAAGAGAGTAAAAAAAAAAGTTTTAATTTTGGATTTCAATAGAAAGTAAATGATTTATTTATTAGATTTTACTGTAAAAAACAAATTATATATAACCAGAGAATTTGGTTTAGCAATAACCGTAAAAAAACATGCTACCCAAAAAATTTATAAAATTATTAAATTAAGTAGAGCTGAATTTAATATATTTTATTTAATATATATTTTTTAAATTTTAGTACTCTTTCCTATTAAAGATGAATAGTAAATATTTATATAAAAAAATAACAGATTCAAGTATATATATATATATTCTGATTATATTAAATCATAATTAAAAAATATAAATAATTAAAATGAAAAATTTATAAATAAAAGCTCATATATAAGCGTAAATAAAAGTAATAAAAAAAGCAAAGAAAACTTTAAGGTGAAAAAAAATTTAATACATGAATTATAATTATATAAATAAAAAGTTTTGATTATTATATCCTCGAAACAAAAAAAAGATGTGAAAAGTAAAATAACTTAAATAAATTTTTTTTTATTAATTTTCAGGCTTGATCAAATTAATATATATATAACTAAAATAATTAAGAAGCTTTTTTAAGTAAATTTGCTGCTTACCAAATTAAAATTATTAAAAGATCCTACGGAAGCGCGTGAAAAACTAAAAAAACTTTCAATGGTCGTGAGATTTCGAAAAAGTAATATAAAATGTTTCTTTACTATTATAATAAAAAAATAATCTTTTCCAATTAAATTAGTGCCGAACTAAATAAATCTACCAAGATGGGCTACAAAAAGAGTAACAAGAATCTGAAGAGGAAGAGCTGCTAAAATAGAATATTCGCGAATATTTAAAGAAAACTGAATGGATTGAAACAAAAAAGAGGCGAAAAGGCCAAGCAGAGAAGAAGAAATTCCATAAAACTTTATATTAAAAAAAAATAACGTAAAAAAGAAAAAGAGAAAGATATTATTAGTAAAAAATAATTATTAAATTTAAAGAAACGCAACTGGTATAAAAATTTTTTTTAATCTAATCAATTTAAATATTTTTAATTTTTTTACTATTATTCTTTTAAATAATAACAAATAATAATTTTTCTTAATAAAAAAAAGTAATAAACATAATAATTATAAGAAGAAAAATTAAATCAATAACACGAAAAATGAATGGAATTACTTCTATTAAAAAATATTATATGCAATACACTTAAAAAATTATAAAAGGTCAAGGGAAAGGAAATTAACAAAATTAATAATAAAAAATTAATTTATTGTAAAATTTAAAATTTACCCCTATATATATAATAAAGCAATTATTATTATTATATTATAATTTATTAAAAAGAAATCATTTAAAATTTAAATCAACATAATAATAAGAAGCATATAAATTATTATAAATTAATGTATACATAAAAAATGAATGCATTATGTAATAATTTCTTTTACAACTAACAATATTAGAAATTTATATAAAAAGTGAAGTAAAAAAAACGTACGAGCCCATAAAAAAGCATTAAGCAATAAATTTTATAATTATTATTTCCGATGCAGTTGTGCACCCAAATGCAATGATGGTCCATCCGAAGAATACACTTCTATTTATAATTGTTATTAAAATGTTATAAATAAGTATACCAAAAAGTAAATAATAAAATAATTCTTTAAAAACGTAAAAATATTTTAATGAAACTAATTAACAAGTTGAAAAAATATAAAATATTTAAATGAAAAAAAATAAATTTCATAGAAGCTTTGGTTGATTAAAAAAATAACTAAATTCTAAACATACAAAAATAATTACAATAAAAAAAAGTTAATTTCAAAAAATAAAAAATTGATTTATTCAAAATTTTAAAATAATTAAGAGAAATTATTAAATAAGTTTATTTTTTAGTATAAAAATATTGCTTACAAATTATATTACGTTCGCCTTAAGAAGATTTTAAATGAACTTAAACTTTTTTATAATGCTGAAAACTATTATATAGAGTTTAATAGAATAGAAATATTTTTTGTTACAATAATTTATTTTTATCTACTACAAATTTATATACAGCAAAAAAGTAAAATTATAAAGATATAAAAATAATTTTTTCAAAAAACTTGAGTTTTTTAAAATTAGAAAATGAAATTCTAGAAAAAACTATACATAAACAATAAAGGAAACTAGATTTATTTATTCTTCACTATAAAAAGTGCATACAAATAAAATAATTCGTATATACCAAAATTTTTTTTAGAAATTGATATAATTCTTTCGAAAAGCTATAAAATATTAAAAAGTTAATAATAAAAAATGATTATTCTTAAAAAATAACAACTGCTTATAAAAAATTTCAAAGACTCTACAATTCACTATAATTTATAAATAAATTTATTTTTCAAAACAAAAATGAAAATAAAAATTAAATTATATACAAAGAAAAACAATATTTTCCAAAAATAAAGATTTATTATAAATGCTACAAACTATTAAATAAAGTACTAATATTAATTTATTTTTATATATAAATTTATTTTAATACTAAAAGATATATATAAAAAATACTTCACAACGGCTACAGTGATGTGTTCGAGGAGGTTTGCAAGTCTCACAAGTCAAGCACCAATCTCTATAATTAATTTGTTCCTATAAAAAAAAGTGAGCAGTAAAATTTTTATTAATTCCAAGAACTATTTTAACGTTATATGACCTCATTAATTATTGAACTATTAGTAACGCCTAATAAAGTTAGAGCTGGGCTTCCAGGAAAAGTAAACATGACCATAAAATAGCAAAGAGTGGCGAGAACTAAAGGAACTGAACTAATCTAAAACTCGAATTAAATAAAAAAAAAAATAATTCAAGTAATTTTATGTATACTACAAGGGTTAAATAAGAAATTTTCTTATATCCTGCTTCACGATAGAAAGAGACAAGGCAGCCAAAAAGATAAAAATCAAAGCTAAAAGGTTATTTTTTTTAAATATAAACTTCATGAGTTATTTTTTACAATAATACACAAACATAATAAAGATCATGGTTAAAAAAGCCAGAGGATTGGTATAAGGGAAATGTGCAATATTCTGGGGGGGAAGACGATACTTAATACCGAATATACTCTACCAAAAATAAATTTATCAACTAAAAAAAATATTTGATATAATTTGATTAAAAAATACGACAATTATGTTCTTCGAAGCTGGAGGTTCCACTCTCCTTATAAGACTGTAAAGGCGGGGGTCCCTCAGACTTTGCATGTACTCTTCTACTCTTTTTTGAGTCTGCAAAAGTTCTCCTTCGCTATAACCGTTATATAGTTTAATTTCAGAATGGTCTACTTGCAAAACCATATTTAAAAAAGATCTTCGGGTAAGTCCATAGAGTGCTATGGTTTGAAAAACTAAATTTAAATTCTCTTAATAACTAAAACTCTTTAGTAATACTTAAAAATTGTATTATAAATAACGTAACCACGAACAGCTTAACTCACGCGCAAAATACTATATTTGGAAAGCATATTAATGTTGGAAGTTTTTTAAGTTAATGGAACCAGGAATAATAATCACTGTAAAATACAGAATGCAACTAGTGTTGCGCTGTATTAAACTTAAAACTTATTTTTATTAAAAACTATATCAAAGCAATTTTATAAAATTTTGCATCCGACATATACATCACCTCTTGTAGTATGAAATCAAAATTCAGCTAATTGCACTGTATTGAACTTGAACTTATTAAAAACTATGATAAAGCAATTTACTAGATTCTGCTTCTAAAATATACAAACACCATGCTGCATTGTCCAAATTGAAAATTAACTTACGTTTTTAATAATAACTGTCTCGCGCATAAAGAAACCTTTGCGCGTTGGCAAATATTTACTCCGGTAATCACAGTGTTACTTATTCTACTAAAGTGCACTTCAGATATTAACTTTTCTTGACATTCTTTTTTAAGTTACACGAATAGTAGTTTTTGTAATACAAAATAATTTATTGGTTAGTTATTAATGTTTTAGGTTTTATAAAGATGTAAAATGAATTAATAAACTAATATTTTCTTTCTTTTTTACTAATTTTTTATTAACCGCTTCAATTTGACCTCAAAACTATTAGAGGGCATGAATAATTAGAGGCGTATCTTCATGATTGATTACTTTTTTTTTAAAGTTTATGACTTTATTTTGTATTTATAAGCATTCAAAGATATTTGATCGTAAACTTTATTATTTGAACTTTTATCATTCTTTATTTCCGTGTATTATTGTTTTTGTTGCATATATATATTTTGTTTATCTTGTTTATATATTTAAGGTAACATTACAAATATTTTTTAAAATGTTTTCTTTATAATTACTTTTTACTATTACTATGTTTATTTTTGTTCCCTATTGCCTTTTACTGTAATTTCCCACCCTTCAACCTTCTTTACTAATTCCAAGGCTGTTAATTTCTTCATAGCTAAACCTTTTAAAAAGATAGAACTAAATATTTATAATGCTTATAGTCAATCTGGAAAAATGAAAAAAATTAATTTTATTAAAAACTAAAAAAAAGCCAAGTCTTCAAATAAAAAGGTGTTAAAAATAGGCCTCTTCTTTAGTAATCTATTATATTACACGGAAAATAAGTAATATATTAAAAATTGTAGAAGCATGATATTAAAGAAAAAAAAGTTTTTTCACTGTTCACACTTTTTTTTCAAATATCTTTGTAGCAAGAGCATTGCCAATAAAATAGTTGACTAACTGACATACTTTTTTCTTTTAATCTTTAAGACCTACTTATCCCATAACTATTATTATATCGGGTTAAAACTTAAAAACTTTTACAGTTGACTATACATTTATATATTTACATACGATATTAGTGAGCAGCACCAGCCCGCAGCCGCCCGTCAAAAGCTTATCTACTCTCTTTATTAGCCCCCCCCCCCCCCTGCCCGAGGTGCACCCAGAATGTTTCTATTGTTCATGTATAAATCTTCTTACTAATAAACTTTACTACTAAAATAAAAGGGTAAGTGACCCATTCCTTCTTTGATTAGAAGCGACTATAAAGCAATTCTTATTCTTTAAGACTTTAAAGTAATAATAAAAAACGTTTAGTGAACGGTAAGGTATTAATCTGAAAGCATAAAAAAGCTTTATATAATAAAAGCAATGGAGGGAAAGCAACGTTTTATAAAAGTTGATTCTGAAGTTACTCACAAAGATATTTCTAAGAGGCAGAAAAAAGAGAGCCTCCTACTACGGAAAAACAGATTTATGGCTCTCTTAGAAAGAAAAAGGGATCGTTTTTTCCCCGAAGATGAGATGGAGTCGGAAAAATATGAAAAAGAAAATTATTTGAGCTCCACATTTGATTTAGAGCGAGTTGTCGAGTGTTTAAAATCTAAAACTTCTAATAGTTTATCGAAAAGAAAGTTAATTAAGGCCCTTAAATTTGGGATAAATGAAAGAATCGGCGAATTTTTAAACTTTCCAAAAGCAATACCATACCCACTTTAAAAAGTTTACTTCTTAGTAAAGATACACTCTTGCAAATAAAAACTCTTAACTTTTTAATAAGTTTGACCATCAAAACGGATAACGAAGGCAAGTGGTTTTTATCTTTTAATTTATTGTTATTGTAAGCATTTTTTTTCTTTTTATATACAGTATATACAGTATATATATATATATATATATATATATATATGTGGATTTGCCTTCTTTTTAAAACTTTTAACGCTTTTCTTGCTCTTACAGAAAACTTAAAGTTAAAGCTTTTATTTCCTATATTAATCGCGTTTTTATCCAGTGAATCGTCTATTCACCGCGATTTATCAACTTGGATACTTGGTAGAGCCTTCCATACTAAAATTGATTATTATAAATTTTAATCAACAAAGACTTTGTTTTTTTAAATTAATATTTCTAGGTAATATTGCGGCCGAAAGCGCCTCTTGTAGAAATACTTTAATATCTCAGGGAATCCTGACTCCCCTTCTAAGCATACTTGAAACTGGAAAAAGACAAGCAAAATATCTTTTAGAGTTAACTGGTGTTCATCTTGCGGAGAATCAGCCCACTTCTTCAAGCATTACATATCGAGTTATTGAAAGCACCGCTTTTTGCTTATCAAACTTGTGTATGGGTCGTTCTTCGCTAAATCTTCAAGATATAATTGATTGCTTGCCTTACATATATAATCATATTAAAGAAAACATTGCCATTGCTGGGTTATACACGCTATTCTTAACACAATGTTATTTTATTATTAGTAACTTCATGATATTTTTAATATTTTTTGACCTTACGGTAAAGTACTTTGAATATTTTCCTTGCGAAATAATTTTTTTTTTTAATGTATTGAACGAAAAACCTTTAATCTGACTAGAATTTCTCTATATGTATTAAGTTTTGTATCGCCGGCTAAATAAATTATAGATAGTCTTTAGCTTACCTTAGTTTACATGGAATTTAAAGAAAAAGATATTTTGCTTTTGCACTTATTGTAGATGCTAAAGTAAACCACTTGAAAAGTGACTGTGTATCGATAGATACATATTTACATTTGTTATACATTAGGAGAACCCTCTTATTTTACTCTCATGCAGGCATGAGGATATCGTGAGCGAATTCTGCTGGGTGCTGACCTTTTTAAGCTCGAAAGGTGCCCACTGGCGCCGAGTTTTAACGGAAAAGTATGGGATTGATAATCTTCTAGAAGTGGCCTACTTTTGTTCTATTAATTTAATAAAAAATAAGGATGGGGATGCCTCTAGCTTTTGTGACGCTTTAAAAGATAAAAAAACTATTACATTTCATAGCGCCTTTTATCGAATTCTCCTCCCTGTATTCCGTTGTTTAAGGAACTTTTCCAGTGATAGAAACTTCAATCCGTCGCTGATCTTGCAAAATCCCAAGTTTTTTGCGTTACTGCACACACTTTTGTGCACTCCCAGTGTAGGAGTAGCAAATTCAGGAGATAGTTATCTGATCTTTGAAATATTGAGCACACTACAGAACTTAACCGTGCAAGAAGAGTTGGAAGTTGGCATTTTTATTCAGAACGAAGAAATTTTAAAAACCATTATAGGTATAATATAAAATTAATGTAACTTTTTTTCTTAAAAAATAATGTTAAGGATAACTTTTATTTTTTTTTCTGTAGACATTTATGTATAAAATGTGATTATACTATGCCACTGTATCAATTAATTCCCGTTGTAATAACATTTATCTTCTTTCTGGCTTTGTATTTTTAAATTGATAAGGTAGAAGAACTTTTTTAAAAAAGCTATATTTCTTATTCAAGTATAAATTAAATATTAAATATCGCTTTGAAAGTTAATATGACACTAAATATTATATTTAAAATATGTTAGTTTAACGTTCTACATATAAAATTTTGTTTATAACAATTTTAATTTATGTTTACCCTTAATGTTTTGTTTATTGTTTATACACGAAAGCTATACTTATGTTTACATTTGTTTTGGCTATTATGAAGTTTTCTAATATGTACTTTATTTATAAATTTAAACCTATAACTTCATATTATGTTACAGTACTTTTCTATATTCTAATTCTATTCGAATATAACCTCATAAGCCAAGAACTCTAACGTCAACAGAAAATTTATTGTTGAACTATTACCATTTCTTGACTTATTTGCCTTAGAAGATGTACTGAACTAACTTTATAACCAAGTAAACCACTAAATTTTTTAATTAGGAAATTTTTGTTATTAAAACACTTCGTTTAACATCCTTGACGCGAACTTAAGTTGTTTTTATTTATTTATTTTAATTAACAGAAAGTAGTAAACGTTAGTTTTTTTACCGCTTCATAAGTTTACAATCGCATGGATAGTTTAAAATGATTATGAATATTCATTTATATATATAACCGCAACTACAGAGTTAATCAGCAACTCTGATCCTAGACTCTCTGAAAATAGCTTAGTTATATGCTGCAACCTGGCAGATCTTTCTGGTTAATATTTTTAAATTCCTTTTGTTTTTGACTGACTCCAATTAACTCTTCGGACTAAGCTAACTATGCAGAGTTCCTTATTAGTTCCAATATAATGCAAGCCGTGAATAACAAGCTTCGTCAAAGAATCCCAGTACTAGCTTTTATATCTTTTCAACTATTAGAACTTTTATTTTCACAAAGTGATCGTGCAGCTTTAGTTTTTCAGGTAAGTAGTAAAAAGCATTTTTTATACAGGTCGTTTATTAAGTATATATAATATAGAATACGTCGGATGGCTTAATCTTACTAGATGGTTATCGGTATGACTGTGAGAACAATACACTCTCAGAAATGGCCGAGTTTCTTTGGGTTGTGTACTTTAATAACAAAGATGTTGCTTATTGATGAAAGGTTGCAATCTGGATACGTTTTTAATAAACTTATTTTGACGAAAACACTAGTTTTTCACTATTTAAATTTATTTATTTAATTTTTTTAAATTTAAAAAATATGAATATATATTTTGTTATTTTTTGATTTATATTTTAAAAATTATTAGGAGTTTGATATTGTTTGTTTAAACTAAAGTTGATTCAAGTAATTTTAAATCGAGACAAATATTTACTAGTAAATAGTATTTAAGATTTCTAATGGGCTGGTCTTTACACTGAAGGATGGCGGAGATTAAAACAGTTGCTGATGTATATATATTAATGGCGCTCGCTCAAGTTAACAACGAGTACACGCGCTTTCGTTCGCGAGCACACGGGTAAAATTATTATCTTAACATGCGTCCTTCACGTTCGATTAAACCCCCAACTCAGCTTCCTTCCGCTAAAAGGCGATTAGGGGTGTCCAGCTTTCCGTTCGTAGAAGGCGACAGCATTTTTATAGATTGTGGTCAGCAGCTCAATCCGTGGTTCGTGGTGAAATGTCTCATTGCGCACAAACCACTGTGCACAGCACATAAAGCCATCGCTTATTGCGCAATGAAAGTTTACTTTTGCTGCTAGCATCTCGGTCATTGACTTGACTCCTTAGCAGCCACGTAATTTACGTGTGGACGCCAACAGCTTAGAATCTATGAGGATCCCAGGTGTCTTACCTGAGAACACCACGGAATTTGCATGTCATTAAAAGTTAACGAAGTCGGCAGCGATTGATGCTTGCTCTTTGCAGCGTTAAGGGAGAGGCCCCACTGACAACGACAGCTAGCAAGAGCGTCGAGCGCAACATTGTTCGACTGCTAAGAGAACGCTGAACCGGTAATATTTGTTTAATAAAAATGGGCTTTCTATTTCCAACTACTTTATATCATCTCTCTGTGACGTAGTCAAGGCCGCAGGGTACCTTATAATACTAGTAATTTTCAGAAAAAGCGTACGCCGGAAAGCGAGAAGGTCTATAGGGAATGTTGATTCAGTTTCGTCGCTTTCAGTGGTACGACTTTGTTTTTTATTTGTTACACTGCAACTCTGCCTCTAACCCTCGGTGTTTATGGATCATGGAGCTCTAAGGCCCAAATACTTTAGCATTACTTGGTAATATCATTTAAGCGGTAAATCCACGCACTCCGCCCGCTGATTTGTGCAAAAAGCACAATTTCTTCGCAATAAATTGCGCTTTTACTAAGGGTATGTGCCCACGATTATGGCCTAACTAATCCGTTACTGAGATGTACGAAAAACCATGAATCTTACACTCCTGCATTCGCAACGAGCCAAGACCAGCCCACCTTATCTCGTGCGTTAATGACACGCTTCACGAAGGTTAAGGTCAGAAACGACTTTTCCAAATTGCCATTGTCTCTTTTAAACGTGTTAGCAAGCACCCAAATTACCAATGTGTACAAGAACTTACACATGAACCGTTGTTTGTTAACTTCTACTCACACCTATGTATTATACTAGTATCTATATAAACTGATAGATGTATTCGGAAATTGAAACAGACTACGCAAAATATTTAAGTTATTAGCAAAACTAAGCAGTCTGCACTTGACTTTACGGAGCATCTGCACATTTAATATCAATAATAATATATAAAGCGGATTTTACACTTCCCAATTTACACGCACTTTTTAGTCTTTTTCTGGTTTTTTTTTATAAGGATGTTTAAGTGCCTGTTATGCCTTGTGCAATGGTCGGACTCTCTACTTGACTGCTCCAGGCAAGTCGCGTTACAGCAACACATATAAATTAGAATTCTTAAAGAAAAGTTTACTTTTCTTTCTTAAGTTTTTGTTTTACAAATTTTCTATAGGAAAATTTATAAGGTCAATAATTTTTTTTATACTTTTCTGAATCTTTATTAAATTTTTAATAAAATCTTTAAATAATAAATAAACTATTAAAAATTTTAAATTAACTTTTTATAAACTTTTCTTTAAAAAACTTTTGAAGGCAATAACTACTACAAATTTTACTATTTATAAAATTATTAGTTTGTTTTTACAAGGTTTATTATTAATAACTTCTATAAAACTTTTCGTATAAAAAGAAACTTTTGAAGCCAATTAGCGCAGCGTACAAAGTGCCAATGAGAGCTCCTATTTTATAAATTTTTAAAAAATTCATTTGCTCGACATAAAATTAGCAAGTTTTAAAGTGGTTTTAAAATTTTTGAATTGTTAAAAAAAGGATTATAAAATAAATTTAAATCTCAAAAGTATTTAAAAATAATAATAAAAATTATAAAGTATTAAGTCGTAAAATGCAAAAAGAAATATAACCACTTTTCAAAACGCATACTTTTAAAAAAAAACTCCGCTGTCCAGTTACAACAATATTAAAATTTTCAAAACAATTCAAGTATAAAAATAATATCCCCATTAAAAATTTAAAAGGATTAAATTTTTAAAATAGTTATTAATTTAAACAATAATATAATATAAATCGAAACTAATTTACAAAAAAAATTTCAAAGTCTCAAATTATATAAACTTTAAAAAAAGTAAAAATAAAAAATATATGTTGCCTGCGTTAATATCACTAAAGGTATGCTTGTACTGAAGAACTCTTGTAATCGCAATAAAAAAAGCAGCTGCGGGGCCGAGTAGCAAAGAAGAAAACTGAAGCAGGCGCAAAACATCTAATTAAAAAAAATATATAAAATTGTTACTAAAAAATTATAAAAGTTTAATAATAATAATAATAAAGTCATAAAAAAGTTTGTCTTGTAATTTTTTTAAAAAAAATTCAAAAGGAACGAAGCCCCTCCAATAAAAATTTAGTTTAACGGCAAACTAATCAGATAACCGGAAACGCAGTGGTAGGTCCTTTCTGGCGCATTTTGCTCAACGTCTGCGACCGATTCGACCTGTGAACTGTAAGCACCGATCAACGTTCTGTTTGAAGGGGATTGGCGCACGTAATAATTCCAGAATAAATATAAAGTTGTGTAGATCCCGTGAGCAAACGCGAGCGTCGAATGGGCAGAAGGATAACTAATAAGAATAAGAATAAATTTCATACTAAACCTCATTGGCTCAAATGGGGTAAAGAAAAAAATTTAATGAAAACTTTACATAAAATAGTAGTATACGAAAAGATATTGGTTAAACTTAATTTTATAAAGGATATTTCAATCTTTTCTGCAAAGGCATTGGCTGTTGAAAAAATTTACCAAAGACTAAGTGGCTTGACTTTTTTTTAAAAAAAAAATTTTTTTAAAAGAGTTTTACGAATATTGTCCTTCCTTAAGCACGCTCTGGTCACTATTATTGCAGTCGGCAGGGTCATAGATACCTAACTTTTTCGGATCTTTAGGCCCGCAGCGGTTTATGAAGTCCGGACGGAAGCGCCCAACCAATGCCTTTGAATAAAAAAGAACCAATAAGAAATGGTGGTGTATATTTTTTTGAATATACATATACGATTGCGTCTAATGGTAATATTAAGCAACAATCTCAACTTTTTATATATAATAAGTGTTTTATATAGAAAAGTACTATATTTTCATATGTAATATATAAAATAATATATATAAGTATAAAATAATTATCAACATAAACAATAATAATACTAATTTGTAATAGATATACTAATAAGAATTAAAATAATAAAAAAGTTAATATGAATAAAAAATAATAATAAAGTTTATGTTATTAATAGTAATAGAAAATTTTTTGTTACATTAAGAAAATACAAATAATAATAATAATGAAGTTGTTAGTAATAAGAATATAAATACTGTAGGAATATAATAAAAAATAATATTAATAAAAATAACGAAATGAATATATTTCTTGTATTAATAAAAGATTTATATATTTAGTTTAACACAACAATTATTATAAAATTTCATTATTTATATTTTATTATTATGAGATAGAAAAAAAAACCTTAAAGTACATAAGAAACATCAGCACCAGAATATTGCATATAATAAAGTCTATTAACAAATAGATAATAGACCATACCTAAAAAGATATAAAGTAAATAAAAATATTAATATCAAAAAGTTTATTAATAAATATTCGAGCAAAAAAAAAACATTAAGAAGTAAAATATTATAGATATAAAGTTTTATAAGAAATATACACTTTATAGTTAAATATAATAAAGTTATTGAAAAAAAAATAAAAAGTTCTTATAATATACGATAGTGTATATATTCATATAATTAGAAAAAGATATTTATTAATAAAAATATTGTTTTATTATCCATTATAGTATATATATAATAATAAATTGTAAATAATTATTGTTTACTTCCTTTTTGGTTTTAACAAAAAAATGAATAACGTTATAATAAAAATAAAAAAGTTTTAATAACTAAAAAGAATAATAATAATCAATTCGTTAACGTCAACTCAGTAGAAGCCTTAAAAAGATGCACGTGACTCCATGAGTTCGCCTTCGCTGCAAGGGTTGCAATAAGCCCCCGCGCCTCACATGACACACCCTAGATAACCCCACCAATTAGCGTTCTCTCATTCCATGTGAGACAAGCAAGCAACAACTGGAATAGTCGAACTTTAACATTATATAATAATCATAAGGTTTTCGTATACAGTATTTTATTATAAAAAATTATTAAATAAATTTATTTATTAACATTTATATTTATTTCGTAAATTCAATTTAAATGTAAATTTTTTTTATAAACTTCAAATTGTTTATAAATTTATTTTAATTTTGATTCATATTTATGTTTATATAAAAAGTTTGCAAAAAATATATAAATCTCAATAAAACTAAATAAAAAAAATAAATAAATATTATTAGAAAAATAATAATAATAAATAATACTTTTATATCTATTAAAGTAAAAAAAAAGATTTACAAAATTCACTAAGTAAAAATATAGTGTCATATAATAAAAAAATAATAGAGAAAACTTAATATCATTACAAAAATTCTCTTTATAGGATAAATATTATTAAAGTTTACTTAGATTTACTACAAAAGATAAAACTGTTTCAGTAAAAGGTCAAATGCTACTATAAAAATATATTTAAATAAAAAAATAAAAAGTTTTTTATAAAATTTTAAAAAAATTATAAATTCTAAAAGAAAAATAATAATTTGAATATATTAATAAAAATATAATAAGTAAATTCATAATCTATAAAAAGAAAATAATAATTTTAGTAAAAAGTTAAAAAATAACAAACGAAATTTACAATAAGATAGAACAAAAATACTATAAATACATAAAATAGAAATTTCTATAAATATTATAAAAATTATAAAACCAGTAACTTCGTAAACGTATTAAATAATAAAGTAACAATCAATTTATAATAAAAAGTTTATTAGATTCACAATAACAATAAAGTCTGTTAGAATTTACAAAAAAAATTTAAAATCTGAAAATATCAAATTCAAAAATTATAAAAAATTATACATCAGTAGCTTCATAAAAGTATAAAAAAATTAATTTTAATTGTAATAAAAAGTTTATTAGATTAAAAAACAAAAGTTTATTATAAGATTCTACGGAAAATATTATAAATCTAAAAGAAACAACATCAGAACTTATAAAATAATCATAAATCAACAGCTTTATATATCTATAAAAATATAAATAAATAAAAAGATTCTTAAATTAATAAAAACAGTAAAGTTTACTATAAATATACCAAAAAAATATTATAAAACTCAAGAAAAATATAAAAAATTATCAAAATTTATATAAACAAAAAAAAATAAAATTATAAAATTATAAAAGTTTACTTAAATAAATTTTAACTATAGGAATAAAAAACGTAGTAAATAATAAAACTTATATTAACAAATGATTAAAAAAAGTATTATTATAAGTATGCTAGAAAAATATAAATTAATAATGGTTTTGCGAATTCGATTTTATAAACTCGTAAAGTTTGACGTTTTTTATAAATTATAAATAAAATTCTAAAAACAATTAATTACTAATCTTAGATTAATTGATTAATAATAAAAGTCAGTACTAGTATTAGTACGCTTCTCAAAAAGAGTACTGCAAATTTAAATAAAGTTAAAAACGTTTAAAATGTTAAAAAATAAATTAGCAAAGAAATAAAAAAATAAATTAAATAAAAAATAAGTTTTTAAATTTTTTTAATACAAAAAAAAATATATAAAAAGTATATAACTTTCGTGTAAAGCAAAAAAAAACTCTTAAAAATCTAAATATTGTATACAAAGTTGTGACCATTAATTTAGTTTTAAAAGTTTTAAATAAAAAAAAAATAAAAATAAGTAATTTATATGATAACTTTTATCAGTAAGAAAACATAAATTAAATTGAATAATAATAGAAAAGTATTAAAATTGTACCTAGATTAAGTATAAAAATAGTATACAGCAGAAAACTTTAATTTAAAAAGAAATTAAAATTAAAAATTATTGATAAATATGTAATTAAAAAAAATATTAAAAGCAATTAAATAATTAATTATAAATATATATAAAAATTAAATTATGTGCATTAAAATTTATATTAAATACAGAACTGCTAAACAAATTTATAGAAATTTTATAAAAATAATTTACAAAAAATTTATAAACTAAAAAGAATTTATTTATATATTAAATAAGATGCCTTTTTGTAACAAGTGTTAAGTCGCTTAAGCTTCACCAATTCCGTACTAATAATAACTACCAAAAGAGAGAAAAATAAAAATTAAAACATTAAAAATAAATTGTAAAGCAACTAAAATTAATTAATTTAATTTGTAAAAGTTACAAAAGAAAAGAAGTACATCTATACCTGCAAGTTTTTTTATGATAACTTGTTAGCAATAGTAATTCTTAGTTAAATTTTTAAAAAAAGGCAAGTGCCAAATTTAAAATTTGAAAAAAAAAAATTATTACAACTTTATTTTCTATACTAATAGTGAATTTTATTTCAAACAAGATCCAAAGATTAAAGAAATTTTTAAAAAATTTAATACCGAGAGCTACTAAAAGAAAAGTGAATCCAAAGGACCATTCAGGAAATAAATCCTATTAAATAATAAAGTAATTTATTTATATTAAAAAACTTAAAGAAAAAGTTATGGAGCATATCGAAAGCTCCAAAAGTTAAAAACTAACTTGAACTGCTCTGCAGCGAACTTAGCTACAACAAAAGATGAATTTTATATAGTAAAATAAAATAAAAACAGCAACTATAAATAAAAGTTCAAAGAAGGACCCTTCTCCCATCCAAGTTATAATTGTACAACAATACAAGTAAGAGAGAATTAAACAATATATATATAATCGCAATATATAAATTTAAAACCGTGTTGTCAAATAATTACTTTCTCTTCATATGGATACATCAACGAACTGTCATCATAGTTTATGTATCGATTCCTGGGCTTTACAAACTTAATAAAAAGGAGCATTGGTATAAGGCCTACACTTAATATATTAAAACATAATTGTTAAATAAAAGCACTGCCAAGAAAAAAAGTTGTTGGACATAGCAATATGGCTGCTAGAAAGGTAGCCCACTGCTGATGCAAAAGACAGCGTTTCCATCCGTCAGTCATTTCTTTGATTGAATGCTTTAAGCAGTTACTATAATGATATTTAATATATTTATAACTTTATTAATTAGGCTACTTGTAAACTTTGCAGCGAATTTATTAAGAGCAACTTGTACTCCGATTGGCCTTTAATATACATTGAAACCACGGAAGAAATTATTATTCTGTAAACATACCGCTTAGTAATATTACTGGTCACCAACATTACAGTAGCTTGGTTTGTGTACCAGCGAATTTAGTGTTACGCCTCAATAAACATAAATTTATTTACCTTTAAAGTAACATAAAATATACATATTTATAAAAAATATAAGCTACCTTTAATATTACAGATTCTGGGGTCCGTTCGTTATTTTTAAGAACATAATACAGTATTAACTGTTTTAGCGCATATACTGTAAGTACAATTATATATGTATTGTATTTTAGTGATAAATAAATTTATGCTGTCAATATTCCTCAAAAAAGAATTCATGTAATCATTAAAACTAATAGCCCTCCTTTGTTTAAGCTAATATATAAGCAGGGAAGGAAATTTATGAGCCTAATAAAGTTGGTTATGTAAAGTGTTTTTAAAAAAGTATTAATTGTTACCATTAAAAAAAGTTGTTTGGTTTAATAATATTCTTAATCCTGCAGCCATTTATAGAAACGGGAGAAGCAGTATTAAAAATACGTTGCTTTCGCTTTTCTCTCGAAAAAAATCCACGCTACTTTAATTTGATCAAAGATAGGCCTTTTGTCCTCCGCGAAAAGAAAGTAATAATTATTTGTTTTAATAAAAATAATCGTGGTATATAATATAATGCTGATAAATGTCGTTATGTAGAATTACGAAATAACGAAAAAAAAAGCATGCGTGTTGGTTTATTTAGTTTTAATGTGTTTTCTTTTTTAATTTTATATGTACGTTAACGAATAACATAATTTGTTTTAATTATATCTTACATGCATGCAATTTTTTTGGTTTGTTGGGTTAGTTCCATGATAACAGCGTGGATATTGTACATTAAACATCACCCTTTTCTTTCAACTCTATCTGTAATTATTTTTAAGTTCTCATATAAAGATAATCCTTTAATTTTCTGATGACAAGAAGGTTAACTGTTAGACGAGAAGTCATCTTTATCAGAAAATATCCCTAAATCACATTATAACTGTAGTTATTTTCTAAGGCGTGGTTTAGTAGGAGAGGCTACGAATTTATGTATAAAAACTCGAGCCAGGGATAGTTGGTGATTTTATTTATTATTAAGATACTGCTATCACAATTTGTGATTGTACATACGTATATTTTATTAAAGGTAAAAGTAAAAATCTCTTAAAATTTATGAAGGCAATATGTACAATATACACAGTAATTAAACTGCTGCTTGAAACCACAATACGATCCCTCAACGAACAAAGAACAGGAAAAATTATATTTTCTCCTGCAGGGGGCTAATTAAGTTTGGCTTTGGATTAAAATTTCCATTACTTATTTTTAAGAAGTTTTAATCAAATAATGTCGGCGTTGATGGTTAAGGTAAGAAATTATAAATTAAGAGTAAATAATACCGATGAATTATTAAGGATACCGCTTTGAACCTCGTCATATATGGTAGAGCTAGGATACAGGCCAATGAGTAAAAAAGTGCGTAAAGCTTTTCTATTCGGAAAAAAATTGTTAATTTTTATATCTTATGTCGTTTGTGCTTTCTTATTTGAATCAATTGCATTTAACTACGGATACTCACATTGCAGTAAATCTTAACGCTTACTGCGAAATAAAGATAAGAAAGGGGACATTATCGGAGGATTCTTTTGTCTTTATACGCCATGACAACTGTTCGACTATATTATATATATATATTTTTTAACTAATCCATATATTAACCAGAAAATATATATAAATCGTTTATAGTAGAGATGCATAAGGAACAAAAAAAAAAATTTCTCACTACCATATTTAAAATTTAAAATAAGACAGTTTTTAGACTCGTTGCCCTATGACAATAAATAATTGAGCCAGACTAATTGTAGTTTTAAATGTTTTTTTTTTTTATTTTAATTATTAACTCTAGAGCTTTGAGTTTTTGAAATTGGTTGGGGCCTCATTTTTTTAAAGAGTGCTAACGTTATTACAAATGTCACTAATAAGAGAAAATAAAATAATAAGTTAAGATGCTTAGAGGCTATTATTATTAGCTTATTATGACCTTTAAGAGGTTAGCTGAAATAAGAAACTTTCAATTATTCACCGTAACAGCAATTTATTATAACAAAATTAAAGGAAAGTTATTTTGCAAAAACCATTAGCAAATAAAAGTAGGCTTTAGTGCTGCAATAAGCCCAGTAATTATTACCGTTCTGGTTAATTTGGACTAATAGAAATTTAGAATAAGAAAAAAGTTTCTTTATATATCTAAATACTTTTTTTAGAAACCAGTGTAATTCAATTAATTATATATTTTAAAAGACTTTTGTTTATAACAGATCATCTAAGGATTACAGGTTTATACAGCAAAGTATATCCAAATTATCTATTATTTAGTCTTTAGGCGTCTTTTTCTGAATTCCATCATGTTTTCATTATCTTTAGAGTTTATACTGCGCTTCATACTTTCGTTATTTTTGGGTAAACTAAATTTGAAGATATAATCAGACTTCTTTTGGATTTCTGTTGAACAAGCTTTACTCTTTTTTCTATTCGTAGGATCCATATTAACATTCAGAAATTTAAACGAAGTGTTGTCTCGAGCTGTCTTGCATAACTGTGACGAAAGTTCTTGGATACTTTTCTTTCCTGTGCATGTAGTGACCACCTTACTATTGGAAGTTACTTTATTATAGACTTCGCATAATTTATGAACTCCCTTAATATAACAATATAATAAGTAGAATATTCGTTATTGCTATTAGCAATTTTAGTTATATTACATTGGAATTTGAGACGCTAGGAGAACAACAACGTGGTGAGCATGAACTACAGCATGTAGTGTGACAAGCATCGGGAGAGGTCGGGCACGCCCGCCTCGTGCAAAGAAGTCGATTATTTTCAGATTTTAGCCCTATGAAAATTTTTAGAATTCATTAAAATATTCAGTTAACTTCATACTTGTAGGGTGGATAGAAGCCAGAAGAAGACGCCGATGACCCCGCTTTACGTTCATAGAAATAAGATCTTCTTCAGTTATTTGCATAACCTGAAACAATTAGATTTCAAGGCTTGCAAACAAACTAATATTACTTACGCAAGAAGCTATGATATTTTATTAATTTTATTAAAAAAGCTAATAAAAATCGCTTTAGCTTTACTTTAACCTATAAATCATAATCTTTAAATAACATATTTTTGTTAGCACAAAAAGTACATATAACTGTATAATTTAAGTATTCTTAATTTTAAATAAAATTTAACTGCATCCATCCGGTCGAAACCTTCGTCTATAAAATTGGGGTAGTATACCTCTAGGCTTAATTTTAAAAGCCACTCTTTCACCTCTATTGCTTTATCCATTTGTAAAAGTAAAAAGAGGTGCTGAAATGTCAAACCTAAGTAAATATAAAAGTAAAATAAAAGATCAATAGCAAGTATAAACCTAATAATATAAAATAATATTCAAATAATGCTTAATTTCCATAAAAAAGTTTATATCGAAGTTCAAACGTTGCAACATAAATAAATCTACATATTATAACTTTAATAGAAAAAGATAGTGTTTCTTGAAAGGAAAAGAAAATAAATATTTAATATATATCTCTGGTTACAATCAAAATTACTTCAATAATCTTATCTTACGGTAAGTTGAAATGAACAGTTTTAGTAACAGCTAGTGCTCTGTTTTATTTAACTCTTAATTATATACATTTTAAGTAAGGCCTAAAAAATATAAATTGGGTTGTTACCAAAAAAAGAAAGTGGTAATATACATGTTGCGAAAAAAAGGAAAAACTAAATAATAGAATTACCTATTTTGTTATTTAAAAAGTACCACTAAAAAAATGTTTATTTGAGCAGTTAAAAATTAAAAAAAAATAACATTTAATACTTTATATGGAAATATAAAGATAAAAATACTAATTGCTTACTCAATTAATTTAGTAGTGGGTAATTTTTGTAAGATTTTAAAATGGTACGAAGCGTGGGTATATAAACGTTAAAAACAGGAAAGGGGGGAGGTTAACTTTAACCTTATAATTTCTATTTTTAGACCTCATACTTTTTACTTCGAAATTATTTTTAACCTTATATGGTTTAATTAAAAATAAAGGCACAGCTATTAAAAATTTTAAGTTTGTAGTTAAAGTTAGCCCTACATATACTATCGTTTATTAGACTTTTACTAGTCTTAAAAATTTTAAGGATTACTTTAATAGTAATAAGTCTTTTTAAATAACTTAAGAGAGTCAGCCCTTGATTGCTTTTAGACCAAAAAAGATGTTTATTGCTAATACAATTAATATAATAATTTTTATCGTCTAAAATTTAAAAAAATCAATATTACTTGAGTAAAGTTATACTGCTATTCTCCAAATTTTTATATTAAAATAAAGTTTAGAAATATGGTGTTATAATTTAAAAAATAATTATGAAACCGATTCAGTGATATTAGTTAGGGTTTATCGTACTTTTCTTCAGCTTGGGGTTCATAATTTACGGGGTAATTTCGTCCTTTGTTAGATTATTTATTACGGCTTTATAGTTAAAAAAAATTACGCCCTTTTATTAAAATATAACTCTCTATAGAATATAGTTTTACTCTATAAACAAAGTGTTATTTTTTAACTCTATATATTATATCAAAGTTTAAATATAGTTTATATTAACATCGAAATTCGAACAGAAGACGTTTTGTGGACGATATACATAATAGTTGCCTGAAAAGTAACCTTCCTACCGTAGCTAACTTATCTAAAAGCCGTAACTTTTAAATTTTTGGAGACAGGCTTTATTCAATAACTGTTCCATAACAATTTTTATTAGCTTATGGGTGCAGTATATTTTAATAGTTTATCAGAAATTGCTATTAAGTGTAAC